CCTTTTTTTAGTTAATTATTTTATTTTAATTAATTAGGTAAAAAAAAACCTTTTCATGAAAAAAACCAAACAAAATCACATTTCCCCTTACATTTCATATTTTTGCATTTTATCCAATAGTTTGTACATTTATTCAAAATTCAATATGGTTGTAATATTATTTAGATTTAATTTCTCGCAATATTCCCCATTTGTAATTTGTATACCCCCTCCCCTAAATGATGTAATAGCGTAGTAATTTTAAATTCCGCAATTTATCGCTTTATATACAAATGCTAGTAATTAGTGTTTTGTATGGAAAGACTAAAACCAATCAATAGAAAACCCTAATCAAAGACAAATCAAGCATGAAAATCAATACACTTGCACACATACACCCCCTAGGGTAAATCCACTTGGTTGCCTTACAAAAATGGCCATATTACGCATGTGAGGTATCTTAGGAAAATACAAGATCATAGTCCCTCGATGACGCTATCTATGTTGCCTTTTCAAAATGATCTTAGTCCCTAAAGAAAAATGCTAAGATACCTTGCAACATTGCTAATCATGGTTATACGATGACCCTTGCCCGTCCCTTTTACATCCAAAGATAAGGGTTACTTACCAAATCAATGGTAAGATAACAATGTCAAAGGAAAAAGGAAATGAACATGAAAGACTTTTGAGTAGGTAGAATGTTCCTAGTTACTTGCTCCATTTCAAAACAAAAACATCCTTTCTATTTTCAAAACAATCACCAACACTTCCAAAACATCTTTCAAAACTTGAAAACATTTTCAAAAGATCAACACCTTTGTATACATTCTTACGCACGAGAATCATTACAAAGATTTCCTAGACAAAGGCCTCTTTACAAAATACTTTCAGAAAAACACACAAAGCATATTTTCAAACAAAAGCAAGTGATCTAGCAAGTAACTAAGAGCCCATGGAAAACCATGGATGAAAAGGGTGCTAATACCTTCCCTTTTCATAATCTACTGCCCGAACTCAAGAAAATATCTCAAAGGTCTTTCCTGTAATTTTTCACCTTTCCTTTTGGATAAAAGAAAAGTCGGTGGCGACTCTTGCTAACGACAATATTTGCAATCAAACACAAAACACCCAAGTCAGTTCTCCTACTGTATCACAATGGGTAAGGTGTTTTTAGGGTTTGGAAGGTTTTAGGTTTTGAGAGGAAGATGTTTTATGAGCTGCAGTTTGGATATGATTTGTGAGTAAATAGAAATGAGCGGGTTGTATTATATGTAATGAAGTTTAATTGACTTTTTAATAATACAGATGAGCTTGGGAATATGAGAGAGAGAAGAATTCTGACCAACAAATATTTATGTCATAAAAGTATGTTACAGTGGGTTCAATCGATTTGCATACAGATGTAATCGATTTGCCTACAAAATAGAAGCAAAATAAAACTGAAACGCACAGTGTGCAATCGATTTGCACTTATGGTGCAATCGATTTGCACTGAAACAGAAAGGTAAAAAATAAAAATATTCAGTGAGCAATCAATTTACACTATTGTGCAACCAAAATGACCAAAAACATATTTTCTTAAAACTTAAACACCACTTAACATATATATTCACATATAACAAGATTAAGACAAGAATAAAAAATCATAACAAGGATAGAAAGCACCTTATATGCCGTGTTCATCAAGAATGCCAAGCTCTCGTCGAATCTTGTAAAATGGTTTTCTTTCCAAAGGTTTAGTGAATATATCGGAAAGTTGATTATGAGTATCTACAAATATTACCTCGATATCTCCTTGAAGTACATGATCACGAAGGAAATGATGTCGTATATCTATGTGTATGGTTCTTGAATGAATGATCAGATTCTTCGTAATTTTTATTGCACTTGTATTGTCGCACTGTAGAGGAATGCATCATAGATCGAGTTCGTAGTCACGAAGTTATTGTTTGAGCCACAAAATTTGAGTGCAACTACTACTCGCTGCAATATATTCTACTTCGGTCGTGCTAAGAGCAGCGCGTGCTTGTTTCTTGCAGGCCCATGATACTAATGCATTTCCAAGTGTGATACGGTGGGAGAACTGACTTGAAGGTTTTGTGTTTGATTGCAAATGTTGCGGTTATCAAAAGTCGCCACCAACTTTTCTTTTATCCAAAAGGAAAGGTGAAAAAGCAAAGGAAAGACCTTTGAGATTATTTCTTGAGTTCGGGGGGGTAGATTATGAAAATGGAAGGTATTAACACCCTTTTTCATCCATGGTTTTCCATGGGTTCTTAGTTACTTACTAGATCACTTTCTCTTGTTTGAAATTATGCTTTGTGTGGTTTTTTGAAAGTATTTTGTAAAGAGGCGATTGTTTAGGCAATCTTTGTAATGATTCTCGTTCGTAAGAATGTATACAAAGATGTTGATCTTTTAGAAATGTTTTCAAGTTTGTAAGATGTTTTGAAAGTGTAAGTGTTTCTTTTGAAAATAGAAAGGAGTTTTGTTTTGAAATTGAGCAAGTAACTAGGAGCATTCTACCTACTAAAAAGTCTTTTATGTTCATTTCCTCTTCCTTTGACATTGTTATCTTACCATTGATTTGGTAAGTAACCCTATCTTTGGATGTAAATGGGACGGGCGTGGGTCATCGTATAACCATGATTAGAAATGTTGCAAGGTATCTTAGCATTCTCTTTTAGGGACTAAGATCATTTGAAAGGCAACTTAGATAGCATCATCGAGGGACTATGATCTTATATTTTGTTTATTTTTGCTAAGATACCTCACATGCGTAATATGGCCATTTTATAAAGGCAACCAAGTGGATTTACACTAGGGGGTGCTTGTGTGCAAGTGTATTGTTTTTCATGCTTGATTTTGTCTTTGATTATGGTTTTCTAATTTATTGGTTTTAGTCTTTCCATACAAACCCTAATTACTAGCAATTGTATATTGTGATACGGTGGGAGAACTGACTATGGTTTTGCGTTTGTTTTCGCAAATGTTTCGGTTGAGCAAGAGTCGCCACCGACTTTTTATTTTATCCTAAGGAAAGGTTTAAAAAGCACAGCAAAAACCTTTGAGATTTTTCTTGGGTTCGGGGAGTAGATTATAGAAGGGGAAGGTATTAGCACCCCTTCTATCCATGGTTATCCATGGGCTCTTAGATACTTGCTTAGATCAACTTGCCTTAGTTTTCAATTGTTTGAAATGGTGCTTTGTGTGTGGCTTTGAAAAGGTTTTGAAAAAGATGCCTTGCATAGGCTACCCTTGTAACAATTCTTTACTCGAATGTTTTACAAAGGTGTTTGTCTTTTTGAAAAGATGTTTCAAGGGTTTGAAAAGTTGATTTTGAAAGTGTTTGTGAGGTGGGTTTTTGAAATAAGGCAAGTGTTTTTCTTGGAAGGTTGACAAGTACCTAAGAGCTCATCTACCCTAAAATTTTCTCAAAGATTTTTGTCATGTTTTAAGCCTTTTGACAATTTTGTTCCACCATTGCATTTGGTGGACAATCTTGTCTTAGGAGATGAAAGGGACGGGCGCGGGTCATCGTTTAGACCATAGTTGCAATAGTGTTAAATGTCTTTGGGCAATTTTCTTTAAAAGGGACTTGATCATTTTATTTAGGCAACATTTTGAGGGACTATGATCATTTGATTGTTTGTTTTACCCAAAGAAATTCAACATGCAATATGGCCCATTTTTGAAAGGCAACAAAGTGGAGTACCCTAGGGGGTGCAAGTGTGAGATGTGTTGTTTATTTTCATGCTCATTTATCTTGTATTAGGTCCAACTATTTTTGTTCATTTTTATTTGCATACAAAACCCTAATTCTAGCATAGTATGTTTAGAAAGCATTAAAAGTGCGAAATTTAAATTCCTACGCTATTACATCACAATAATATGGGGAGGGGGGTACAATGTTTCAAATGGGGTTTATTTGGGCAAGAATTTAAATCTAAGCTATTACATCATTTTTAGGAATATTTACAAGATAAATAATTGCATAATTAAATGGAAATTGACATAAATATGCAAAATATAAAAGGAATTTTTATGTATATGTAAAAAAGGGTATTATTTATGTAAAATAAAATAAAGAAAATAAAAGGGTATTATTTTGAGGTATTTTCAAATTTAGGGTAAGAACCCTAATTTTAATCAAAATGTATATTAATTAATTAATTCATACAATATTCATTATTTACATACAAAAATAAAATATGATATATTTGTAAAAAAAGGCATTTTTAGTGTT